CAAAGTTTAACGTTGATGACATTATCGCGTCCATATATGGACGCAATAAATAGAAGGACGCAGTAATAAATGTAAAAGGGCAATGATTGGACGCAATAATGATAGCAGGATGTATATATATATATATACTAATGTATTGGGGAATGCAGCAAGTAAAAGCGAAACTCTTTAAAGTTTATCCAAGCTTTCGGAAATGTTTATTTCCTTCTTCAGGGATGCTACAGCCAGAATTTGTCTGTTCCAACCTAAACGTACATCCAGTGCACACAGCACTCTGAGTGATTTTGTTTTGGAATTGACAGAGAAGATTAGGTTATGTTGGTCCTAACCGCGTTAACCATAACCTGACTTTCCATCCGTGGTTTTCCAGCATGGATGTGAATAATAATTTTTTAAAATGTTAATTATTTCGTCTGGTCTTTTTACAAATTTCTAAATGTCAGTATTTTGCCTTTTTTATTGCCTTGACTATTGTGGAGATTTTTATTCCTACTGATGGCACCATGTGTAATGATATGTCTATCATCTTATAACATCCATGTAATTAATCTCAACAAAGATGTATGTATATTTATATTATCTATTTTTGTGCACATTAATATGATATATCATTGTAGCATCCCTGAAGAAGGAAATAAACATTTCCGAAAGCTTGGATAAACTTTAAAGAGTTTCGCTTTTACTTGCTGCATTCCCCAATACATTAGTTTTCTTCCTACTGGTCAGCAACGACTTCCCTTCTATATATATATATATATATATATATATATATATATATATATTTACATCCTCTTATCAATATTGCGTCTGACTCTGGAACTAATTTGTTGCGTCCCCTAGAAGGGAGCCACTTAGAACAAAACTGACTGAAGTATATTAAAGACCGCGAAATTCTGTACAGGACCTGCTATTTCATTTCCCTCCAAATCGACTTTTATATATACATTTTCCTTTCATTTTGTATTATTAGCAACTCCTTTCACAGTCCTATCAATTCAAACTCCATCGTATATTCTAGTTTTTATTTCTCGTTTATTACTGCAACCAATTTGTATATCATGTTTCAATGCCTCAATAATGCTGCGACCGCATTGTTGCCAGATCGACGTCAAGAATATACATTCATATTTTATGATTCTGGGCATCATGCGTCCATTTCATCAGTGATTTAATTAGACAAGAGTGCTATTTCTGCATAAACTATGAGATACACAGTTCCTGTCTGAAATCAGTCTATACTTTCCAATGCATCGAGATAATACTTCTTAATTCAGGAATGTAGAATTCGATGACGTGAATTATTCTTCTAGTTGCAAATATTTGATTTTTGAAAATGATGGCGGCATGACATCATTTTGGTTGAACATTTCAAATTTGGTATAAGGGGGTTTTTATGGTCGGAGATTATGATTCTTTTGTCAGAATTGAAATATGCAAGATGGCGGCTCCAACATGGCGGATGAAATATGTAATTATGATCCGATTCTATTAAAAATTGGTATCTGGGGGTTCTTGAGGTTGGAGATTATGATGATACTGTCAAAATTGGAAAATTCAGAATGGCTGCTTCAATATTGGCGGACATGTTTCGTAATTATGATCCGATTCTATTAAAAATTGGTATCTAGGGGTTTTCAGGGTTGGAGATTTTGATTATGATTATGATTATGATTATGATTATGATAGATAGATAGATAGATAGATAGATAGATAGATAGATAGATAGATAGATAGATAGATAGATAGATAGATAGATAGATAGATAGATAGATAGATAGATAGATAGATAGATAGATAGATAGATAGATAGATAGATAGATAGATAGATAGATAGATAGATAGATAGATAGATAGATAGATAGATAGATAGATAGATAGATAGATAGATAGATAGATAGATAGATAGATAGATAGATAGATAGATAGATAGATAGATAGATAGATAGATAGATAGATAGATAGATAGATAGATAGATAGATAGATAGATAGATAGATAGATAGATAGATAGATAGATAGATAGATAGATAGATAGATAGATAGATAGATCAGAAAGCAAAAAGAGTATGCTGGAAAGCAATATGTGATGATATAGACTGTGATATTTGGGGGGATGGGTATAAAATCGTGATGAAAAGAATCCACGGATTCCCACCAAAACCCCAATTGACAATGCAAATGACGGAAGAAGTATTCAACCACCTCTTTCCGGTACATGAGCAAGTGATATGGAACTGTGATGATACTGTGATATTTAGAAATTTTACACCTGAAGAGTTATGTTTAGCATGTAGCAAAATAAAGAATAACAAGGCACCTGGGCCTGGGAACATTCCACCGGAAATGATCAAAGAAATTGCACGAAACCAACCTGAATATGTACTCGCAGTCTACAACGAACTAGCAAAGCAAGCGGACTTTCCAGCCGACTGGAAACGAGCAAAGCTAGTATTACTTAGGAAAGGAGATAAACCACTAGAGAGTCCTACGTCTTATAGACCACTAAGCTTACTGGACGCAGAAGGGAAGCTATATGAGCAGCTTATTCTGATAAGACTCAAAAGTGAATTGTTGAGAACGGGAGGTTTATCAAAGAACCAATATGGATTCAGAGAAGGTCGACAGACTGTAGATGCAGTGAATGCTGTCTTGGAAATAGCAAAGAAAGCAGCAGCCTACTCACCCCAACATCGAAGACTTTGTGCAGTGATAACTCTAGATGTGAAGAATGCATTTAATAGCGCAACGTGGCAGATTATTCTAGAAGAAATGAGAAGAAGGGGAATACATGAGAGTCTCATAAATATTATAGCATCCTACTTATCGAACAGAGAAATGATATTTGAGGCGGAAGACACAATAAAACATCGGAAAATAAACAGTGGTGTTCCACAAGGATCGGTGCTGGGCCCAACTTTGTGGAATATTTTATATGACGACCTCCTAGAAACGGAATTACCCGAAGGAGCTACAATGATAGGCTTTGCAGACGACGTAGCTGTAGTTGTAGCTGCAAAGGGAGAACAGGTTCTTATGAACACAGCAAATACGGTTTTACAACTAGCTGCAAACTGGATGCAGAGGAAACAACTTCAACTGGCGCCAGAAAAAACAGAAGCCGCCCTTCTCACAACAAAAAGAAAAATAGGTCGAATAGAATTCAATATGCGAGGTACATTAGTCGAACCAAGGAGATCAATCAAATATCTAGGAGTCTGGCTGGATACGAAACTAACATTCACGGAACACGTCACAAATATTTCACAGAAAGTAGAGAAAACTATAACTGCTCTTGCATGTCTCATGCCCAACATAGGAGGCCCTAGAGCATCGAAGCGGAGGATAATGGCAAGCGTAGTTCACTCGCAGATACTGTATGCGGCACCAGTATGGCACACAGTCATAGAGAATAAAAAGTTGACAAAAAGATTACTCAGAGTACAGAGAGTCATATCAATAAGAATATGCAGTGCATATAGAACAGCCTCAACAGAAGCAGTGGCAGTAATAGCAGGAAACCCTCCCATAAACCTGCAAATAAAAGAAAGGTACGAAAGATACAACGGCGTACTGAAGAACACCGCCAGGACAAATCTGATGACGAGCTGGCAGGAGGAATGGAGCAACGGGATATATGGACGCTGGACTTATAAACTGATACCCAACATACAGGTATGGATGGACAGGCCATACGGAGAGGCGGATTATCATCTCACACAAGCACTAACGGGACAGGGGTGCTTCAAGAAATATTTACATCAACGGAACATAGGAGAAACTGATCAGTGCATATATTGTGATGGAGTCGATGATGCAGAGCACACACTTTTCGTATGCTTCAAATGGGAAGATGCAAGGGCCGAATACCTAGAAATAACAGGGAAGACGTTCAATGCGGAAAACATGATGGAAAGCCTAACAACGTCGGAAGAAACATGGAATCAGGCATATCGCACTGTGCGATATATAATTGAGTGTAAAGAAAGGGAAAGTAGGATACCGAACAGATAGGAAAAGAGAGGTCAAGGAAAATACAGCCCTAACACTGAAGTAATGCGTGAGCGGATACCAGTGTTAGGAGCAGGAAGAGTAGGAGGGGTTTTAGTCGGTAGGAATCCGACACTCCCGGACTTTCAAACCGGGGTCTTATGTAAGATTTCCCCTCCTACCAAGAAAGAAAAAAAAAAAAAAAAAAAAGATAGATAGATAGATAGATAGATAGATAGATAGATAGATAGATAGATAGATAGATAGATAGATAGATAGATAGATAGATAGATAGATAGATAGATAGATAGATAGATAGATAGATAGATAGATAGATAGATAGATAGATAGATAGATAGATAGATAGATAGATAGATAGATAGATAGATAGATAGATAGATGACATTGCAATGTCACTCAGCCTCTCCTACCCAATTCCAATTCTCACCTCCCTGCGGTGGACCCTGGAAACCCGAGCAACCCTTTCCGAGATTGGGTAGCCAACCCCAGTGGAGGTCAGGGTCGGGGCATACGAGAATGGGAGCCCCAAGCTCAAGGTGTAACACCATCGCGCCGAGGAGCTGCATGGCACAGGGGTTAAGGATGTGTCTCGAGCGATGCCCTGGATAAATGGCGACCTCCAGGGGAACGTAGCCTTAGCGTGGTATGGGCGCACTGCCATGTTGGACAAATCAAATCGACCCATCTCGTGGGACAAAGATGGAAAAATCAGAACTCAATTCAAAAACTGATACTTCTTCGGCAGGCGATCAGGCTGAGTCGCAAGAGGCTGTCGACAACGAGCAGGTATGGCTCACTAGATGGCAGGATGCCTTCAAGAACCCTGAATTTGAAATCTCACAAAGAAGAAGCTCAATCCATAGATCTCCGGAGAGGAGGAGAGAGCTCATTCTAGAGACACCAAAATCCAGACAAACAGAGGAAATTAACGAGGATACGACAAAGGATGAATCTGGCTTCGTTACACAGAAATCGAAGCGAAAAAAGGCAAATATGACTCCAGAAAAACCTGGCCAAGAAGGAGATACTGAGAGGAAACATTATAATAGATCTCTAGAAGCACTGGCGAAACAGATCAAGCACTTAGAGAAATTGGTTTTCGATTCCTACAAACCCAAGAAGGAACTTGCAGAGATAAGCTCCAAGCTGACTTATCACGTGAATCAGCTACAGAAGGAATTGCTTAGAAGAAAGCCAGATGAAATTACAAGCGGAGAAAACCCAGCCATAATAAAACAGACAAGGACCATAGAGACACAAGTGACAGAAGAAGAAATTCTAGAGGAGTGGGCGAGTAGAAGGTCACAAAAAAGAGCAGAAATCGAAAGAGTTCTCAATAACGAGAAGGAGTTTGAAAGTCTCGCAGAAATTTTGGATGAAGAGTGGCCGGAAGAATTCTACAGAGTCGCACAACTGGAACCAAAAACGTTTCTTCAACTAGATTCGAACGAAGATCTCGCGATATTTATGGATCCCAAAGGAGTGAAAGAAGAGGAATATAATGAACTTCTGGCCCAATACCCCGCCATCGCCCCCCTGGTGAGAGAAGGTCTCGTAGAAGGAAAAATGGACTTCGTGAAGTTTCAAATTGGAATAACCAGTAGCAGAAATGATCAGGAGCAGGAGAATTACACTCAGTCTGTTTTCATCCTCCCAATGACGATGGATGACAGCGGAGTGGAAGACGTGGAAATGATCCACAAACTTACAGTTCAGCTCAAAATCGAAATGGAGAAAACCGACAGAAAACGACTGAGGATTGGCGCCCTGGGAAGAATTGATATGAAATACCTTCGGAAATGCACGGAATTTAGTCTACGAGGCCTAGATATGAAGGCAACAATCTGCATCAAAGAGGAAAAGAAAACACAGGGAGATAGATCAGGAACAAATGGAGGAAAAAAGACCAGGAACTCGGACAAGGATAGAATAATCATAAAGGCACAAGAAGGTAAAAGCTACGCTGATCTTCTCAGATCAGTCAAAGGTTCCATAAATCTTGAGGAAAAAGGAATAGAAATCAGCTCAATTAAGAAAACAAAAAATGGAAATCTCATGCTGGAAGTTCTAGGTGGAAGAGGCAAAGCAAATGCACTTAAGCAAACTATCCAGGAGGCCTCAACTGACACTGAAGTCATTGTAACTAACAATGACATGATATTGCATATCACAGATATTGACGCTAGTATCGAAGAAGATGAACTGAGAAGAGAGATCTCGAAAGCAGAAGACATCCCTGAGAACCATTTCCGGATTGTATCAATGAAGCCAACACAGAGCGGAAACCAAACAGCTACAGTTGCAATGAAGAGAGATATTGCTATGAGGGTGTCAAGAAAAGGCAAAATCAAAATCGGCTGGATAAACTGCAGAGTCAGACGAAAGATCAACATGCAAAGGTGCTTCCGATGTCACTTGTTCGGTCACAGGAAGGAAGACTGCAAAAGTGAAGATAAATCTGATCGATGCCTTAAATGTACTAGGAGCGGACATAAGGCCAAAGACTGCCAAAACTTGCCATTCTGTATGGTCTGTAACGAAGAAGGGCATAGACTCGACCAGACGAAATGCCCACAGTTCAAGATACTCGTCAGAAATAACGCCAAGCTACCTATAGCAGCGGGCACTACCGCTGGAAATGCTTGTTAAAGTCCTTCAGACCAATCTGGGTAGAGGAAGGGCCGCCCACGATCTAGCCTACAGAACATCCATAAAAAGAAATATAGATATATTAGTGGTAGGAGAACCCAACAAGAAACTAATGGAAAACGGCCAGTGGATAAAAGATAGAAGGACTGACGTGGGTCTCCTCTTCGTGAACAAACAGATAGAAGTGAAGGAAGTGAGCTCTAAAGAAGGATACATTAGAATCGAATTGAAGAACTGTCATATATACTGCTGTTATATCTCGCCGAATATTACATTCGAAGAATTCAAGGCGCGGGTGGATACTATGATGGATGATGTCTTAGGAAGAACAGGTGAAAAAATAATCATGGGTGATATAAATGCTAAATCTCCAACGTGGGGGTCACCATCCAGAGATAAGAGGGGAGAGTACTGGGAGGAATGGATGTCAGCCCTAGACCTGAATATCTTGAATGATGGAAGGAAACCAACGTTTATAAGGGGACGCACAGAGTCGTATATTGACATAACATGCTCGACCAGTGACATTCAGAAATCAATAAGGGATTGGGAGGTTATGGAAGAAGAAACGTTAACGGACCATCAATACATTTACTTCAAAATATCAACCGGATTGAGAATTCATGATTCAAGCAGAAGCAGACCAACATGCGACTGGGAATTGTTCAAAGAGCTAGCATCGTGGAGAATCACAGCAGGGGTGAGGAATAGACAGGACTTAGAAGCAGTGATGAAAGAAGCATACAAAGAAAGCCTTATAACAACGAGAAAAGACCGGACACCCTTCTGGTGGAATGAGGAAATTGGCGAAAAGAGAAAAACATGTCTAAGGATCAGGAGAGAGATGACACGAGCTAGCAGGAGAATACCAAGGTCTGAAGAGGACGTAAACAATAGACACAGAGATTTGAAGGCATGCAAAAAAGAACTACAGTATTTGATAAAGAGATCGAAAAAGAAACACTGGGATGAGCTATGTAAGGAGCTGGAAGAAGACATTTGGGGCACAGGATATAAGATAGCAGTCAAGAAACTAGTAGGCTACGCTCCTATGAACTTGGCGGTAGAAAAAAAGGTAGAAGTGGCAGAAGGTCTATTTCCAACGAAAACTAAAACCTGGAGGAAACCCAGAACAGAAGGGTATGCCGAGCCTTCCACAAAGGAGGAGTTGAGGAAAGTTTTGTCGAAAATGAAATTGGGTAAAGCACCAGGTATCGATGGAATCCCTACGGAAGCCATCAAAATTCTCGAACAAATTTCGGCAGAAGTGATACTGAACCCGCTGAACGGTATCCTGAGGGCAAAGAACTTCCCGAAGAACTGGAAAAAGGCAAGACTCGTTTTGATACCCAAAGGACATCCAGAAGATATGAATTTCAGACCGATATGTCTCTTGAATTCTATCAGCAAAGTATACGAAGGACTATTGAAAGAAAGACTGGAGGCTGAATTAGAAGGCACCGGAGGACTCTCAGATCGGCAATTCGGATTCCGAAAAGGAAAATCCACAATACAAGCGGTAGAAATGGCTGTTGATACAGTGAAAAACAGCCCAAATGATAGCTGGGCGGCACTAATCACTCTTGACGTTAAAAATGCGTTCAACACGGCATCATGGGACAAAATACTACAAAAGCTGGAAAAGAGAGGCGTAGCAAGCTACTTACTGGATATTATCGACAGCTATTTGGAAGATAGATCACTACGAATAGGAAATGATGTAGACTTCAAAGTTACAGCAGGAGTTCCACAAGGATCAGTTCTCGGACCCACCCTGTGGAATGTGCTTTATGATGACGTGATAGATGAATTAGTACCTGGGGGTGTGACCATGCTTGCATATGCTGACGACCTCGCGATTGTCGTTACTGCAAAAAATAAGGGACAGCTTGAATGGAAGGGAAACGAAGCTCTACATCAAATTCATATATGGATGAACGAGAACGAACTAGTTCTAGCACCCCACAAATCTGAGGTGGTGATCCTAAAAGGCAGAAAAGGCATAGAAGAGGTGAGATTCATATGCGGAGGGGTAGAAATACCTCGAAAAAGAAGCCTAAAATACCTAGGGGTGACTATAGGAGAGAACTGCAGTTTCTCCCAACACATCAGAGATAGCTCTCTCAAAGCAGAGAAGAAAGCTGCAGCTCTCAGCAGAATAACGCCGAACATAAGAGGACCTGGCTCTAAAAAGAGGGAGATGCTTTACAATGTGGTACAGTCCATCCTTCTGTATGGTGCTCCAATTTGGCATGACTACCTGAGAATGAAGAAATATAGGGACATGTACACAAGGGTACAACGTAAGATGCTTATCAGGGTCATCAGTGCATATCGCACAGTCTCGGCGAGGGCCACGCAAGTTATTGCGGGAATAATCCCAATTGAGCTGATGGTGGAAGAAAGAGGGAGACTGTATAGGAGGAGAGACGGAAACACCAACGAAGCGAAGGCAGAGGAGAGAGAAGTGACCTTAGAAAAGTGGCAAGAACTTTGGAATAGTACCGTTAATGAAGCACAATGGACGAAGAGACTGATACCTCGACTTTCAGAATGGATACTGTGCAAACACAGAAGAGCCAACTACTATCTGTCCCAAGTACTCTCTGGACATGGGTCTTTCAGGGTATATGTCAAAAGAATAGGAAAAACAGATAGCGACCTATGTTTGTACTGCGGAACAGTTGACACTGTGGCCCATACAGTTTTCGAGTGCAAGAGATGGGAGCAACAAAGAAGGCAGATACAGATAGCGATTGGGATGAACCTCGATACAGAAAATTTGGTGGAAACTATGCTAGGAGGAGCAGACACATGGAATCAAGTGAATTCATTCATCAAGGATATCATGAAAACCAAAGAAGAAGAAGAGAGGCGAGAAGCCGATTTGAGATAAAAAAAAAACTAGAAAGAAATTATTGAAGGCCTCCCTAACCTGATGACATGCGAGAAGCGATTCCAGGCTGGCAGGCGGAGAAAGGGGTTTTTTAGTCAGTAGGAGTCTGACACTATCGACTCGCGACAGATACACAGCGATCGATGCCCTATGCAGGGTTTTTCCCCTTGAAAAAAAAAAAAAAAAAAAAAAGATAGATAGATAGATAGATAGATAGATAGATAGATAGATAGATAGATAGATAGATAGATAGATAGATAGATAGATAGATAGATAGATAGATAGATAGATAGATAGATAGATAGATAGATAGATAGATAGATAGATAGATAGATAGATAGATAGATAGATAGATAGATAGATAGATAGATAGATAGATAGATAGATAGATAGATAGATAGATAGATAGATAGATAGATAGATAGATAGATAGATAGATAGATAGATAGATAGATAGATAGATAGATAGATAGATAGATAGATAGATAGATAGATAGATAGATAGATAGATAGATAGATAGATAGATAGATAGATAGATAGATAGATAGATAGATAGATAGATAGATAGATAGATAGATAGATAGATAGATAGATAGATAGATAGATAGGTAGGTAGGTAGGTAGGTAGGTAGGTAGGTAGGTAGGTAGATAGATAGATAGGTAGGTAGGTAGGTAGGTAGGTAGGTAGGTAGGTAGGTAGGTAGGTAGGTAGGTAGGTAGGTAGGTAGGTAGGTAGGTAGGTAGGTAGGTAGGTAAGTAGGTAGGTAGGTAGGTAGGTAGGTAGGTAGGTAGGTAGGTAGGTAGGTAGGTAGGTAGGTAGGTAGGTAGGTAGGTAGGTAGGTAGGTAGGTAGGTAGGTAGGTAGGTAGGTAGGTAGGTAGGTAGGTAGGTAGGTAGGTAGGTAGGTAGGTAGGTAGGTAGGTAGGTAGGTAGGTAGGTAGGTAGGTAGGTAGGTAGGTAGGTAGGTAGGTAGGTAGGTAGGTAGGTAGGTAGGTAGGTAGGTAGGTAGGTAGGTAGGTAGGTAGGTAGGTGTAGGTAGGTAGGTAGGTAGGTAGGTAGGTAGGTAGGTAGGTAGGTAGGTAGGTAGGTAGGTAGGTAGGTAGGTAGGTAGGTAGGTAGGTAGGTAGGTAGGTAGGTAGGTAGGTAGGTAGGTAGGTAGGTAGGTAGGTAGGTAGGTAGGTAGGTAGGTAGGTAGGTAGGTAGGTAGGTAGGTAGGTAGGTAGGTAGGTAGGTAGGTAGGTAGGTAGGTAGGTAGGTAGGTAGGTAGGTAGGTAGGTAGGTAGGTAGGTAGGTAGGTAGGTAGGTAGGTAGGTAGGTAGGTAGGTAGGTAGGTAGGTAGGTAGGTAGGTAGGTAGGTAGGTAGGTAGGTAGGTAGGTAGGTAGGTAGGTAGGTAGGTAGGTAGGTA